GAGAGAGAGAGAGAGAGAGAGAGAGAGAGAGAGAGAGAGAGAGAGAGAGAATTAAAGAATGCGCGAGTGCGAGTTGTGTACATACAATCGGCGATGGGATTAATATGATACGTATCGAGGATGTTCAAATAATTCGATGTCCATGTATATTATTTAGAGGAAAGCGACCAATGACGAAAGCTTTGCTGGTTTTGTTATATAGTTCCTGATGATAAGTGGTCCCTGACTACTTCGAAATAGTGTCGTGAAAGAGTGTCGTAATTTGTTATTTATCATGAGACGCGTTTATTTTCATATTCGTGATTTGTGAGATTGCGAATGTCCCCCCTTCTCTTCGATACACAGTTACTCCCATAAGTATTCCTACCCCCTATATCGATTAAAAAAAATCTAAATTAAATAACAGTTTTCATCTATTCAAATAAATGTTTCGTTATAATTACGTATTCATAATAATGAAATAATTATTTGAAAATATCAAACCTATCATTCAATTTAAACATATTTCTTTAATAGATGTAGAAGGTACGAATATTTATGGGCCCGACTGTACGTAGTGTATAAAATAAAGAGGTTTTCATTATTTGTTCATAACCAGGAATAGAATTTGAAGCAACGTGAATTCGTGTCAGCGATACTTAAATAATTCAATTAAAATAAAATAAAATTGAATTTTATCATCGATATTAAAAACGCTAACCAAGAAAGACCACTTGGAGTGTCCGACTGGTCGATTTCCTCCGTTACGTGTATATCGACAGAATCGATACGACGTTAGTCCCATCGCTGCATAAAGTCAACACTCCTTCCTTCCCTTTGGATAGCGTTCGACTACCGTGTCGCGTACTTAGGCACGTGTTAGAGAGTCCGTAGACGTTTTTCCTTGAAAGTTACCGCCAGAACGACGCGGCTCACGACGGCCACTCGACGCTGGTCGTCGCCGTGCGACGCCCAGAGACGGCGAATAGCGGACATTCTTCCATCGACGTCGCCCCGGAGAACTTCCGGTCTGCGGTGCGCTTCGACACCTTCGGGGCGGCTCGACGTTGTTTCGTGGCGACTGTTCCTAAAGATAGAGCCACCTACGAAAGTTCTCTTTGAAATAGCTGCATTCTCCAATACGTCTATGATAATACTTGCTACGTTCGGTTACTCGAGGAGAGGAGAGAAGAAACGCCTTTCGTGGCGGGAGTTCCTCGCTTCAGGACTTAATTTTTTCTCCGTTTACAAGGTGCAGTCACCTCCGTCGCTATTTGTTGGTTTACTCGTGAGGATTTTGTAATAAAAATGAATCCAAGCAGGATCGTACTCTGAATAGTTTTAAATTGTGGATACAACGAAGTACTTTTGAATTCCGTAAGCGTGGACGGCTCGGAACGAGGTCGTGTTTGGAACCATTTTTACTTAAAGAACCCCTTCGATACGTTAATGATAAGGATAGATTTTTCATAACGATGCGATGAAAAATATAAACGGAATTGTATCTTTGTTGGCTTTCGACTACTTTCAAATTATTGTAGCAAGACAATTTTCGATCGCATAGTCTACACGAGTCTACGATACCTAAAACATAAATTAAGTCAATGAAGCGGGGAACTGCTGTAATTAGACCCGCGATTGCTACATACATTCGAAACGTTCTCTATATGCATATCAGAGTGTTTCAAAAAATATTGCACATTTTCAAATCTTTTAGTTCATCGAGTGACAGCCAAAAAAAAAATTCCATCTGCCATTATTCTAGAAGAAATTATATTCCTTTGAAACATCATGATGGTTCTTCGAATGCCATAAAACTATCAATATCCATATTTATTGTCGTCGCTATTATTAAAACGCCTGCAACTCAAAACTACGTCACGATTTGTGCAAAACTGATTCGAAATCTACACCGAAACTCCTTCAAAAAAATAACACGCTAACAAAACAATAAGGGCGAGAGGCAAGTTTGCCAACTATATATTAACACACGAACTTCATCTCGACAAAAGTTTCAACCGAGTTACAATGGACGTTTGCACATCTCCCACGCGTTTTGTTTAATTTGGAGGTAATAGTTTGTTTAAACAACGAGAAATAAACGAAGTGCGCCACCAAAAATATGAAGTCACGAAATATGAGAGACAAATATTGAGAAACGCAACCGCGAGAGTTCAAATTTAATTCCAGGTCATATTTACTCGAAGGGAGCGGTAGGGTTAAAAATAACATAAAGCAATGTGAACGAAATACGGAATATTTTTTGAAAGGCTCTGAAACTAGCGATGGGACTGGCACGATTAAACGTCGATGTTCGAGCGATTTAGCATGAAATTAATGCACAGAAATGAGACGATGGCTCCCGGGTCTGACTAATTACGGTATAATCTCCTTCCTACGGCTCTATCTTCTATAGCATAATCTAGGAGATTATATCGTAATTAGTCAGATCCGCTAGCGAAGCTCTCGTTTCTGCGTAGCACTCACAATCAATGGGAAGTATCGGAATGTACCGACATTTGAATTAGTATGCGGTATCGATTTTCGATATCGTGACTTTTGTGATTAATACTTAAACGATACTATCAAATAGGCATTGATGGTATTGTAAGTATATCAAACGAAAGAAACGAAGTCTTCGTAAAACATGCAACTGCACTGTGGAAGAAAATGAATACATAAAGTTATATTATTGTTAAATAATATAGTAACTATTTAAAGTCGTATATGTCTCCCAGTGGTTTGCAAATTTCTCATTTTATATGAGAATTAATTGGAGGGATTGCAATGTTTTCTTTTCAATAATAAATCTTCATAAAATACCGCGTCTTTTCCAGACCTAATTGCTTGACGAACAGAGCGTAAGAAATAATCGGGAAAATGCAGTGCGTGTACAACACGACGTAAACTAATATTGTTGAAGAGTTAAGATTAAATATAAAAGCAACCGAAGTCGAGTAACTTTTGTACATAATAATATTACAGGAATTGTTCCTCTGAAAGAGTTATTATTCAACGAATGAAAATAGTAGAAATCACTGAAACTGATTTTCTTATTTTTATGTCAATGGTATAGTCAATGTATACCAGATTAGGGTAGAGATTCATTACCTCGCGATTACGTTACGATCAATCATGAAATAATCATCCTTGAGATTAACGGTCACCGATCGTTAGCCCGATTAAACGGTAATCCTAATTAATAGACCACGAATGTTTATGCAAATTCCTACCTATTTTCACAAATACAGAAATGAATCGAAACTCAAGCGGAAGCATGTTTCATCTTCTAAACGGTATAGCATGTATAATATTGTTTATGATTAACATATTTTCGTATTTGTGCGGATTTTCATACATTCTCCCATAATTTCACTTACCATAAATGCATAAACATCCGCAGTCTGGTAATTAATAACCAGATTAGACTTCGCCCGACGCTGGTGTTCGCTGGAAGCAACACTCGTTGCTGAATTATTGACGTATCGAAAATCGATACCAAGGAGATACGAGCTGTTGCAATTGACTCGTGTCGGTGCTCTCGCGCTGGTATCGAAACGGTTTGATGCGAAACGACACTTTGTTCACTTTCGTCGTCTGTGCCGAGAGTGTCTACGATTCAGTCCCGTCGCTATACGAAACCATTCTCTATAGACGCGTGAACCACTCGATTTCCTCCGTTGCTGCTCACAGCACAAATCGCTGCGATTTTCGTTTAAAGGTAACGAGTAATAATAGATCTACATAGGTATTGACGACGTTTCCTTCGTCAGCAGTAGTTTTCGCCCGATCATCCATCGATCTCGCGCGAATCTTGGCGACGTTTCGTTCCTTTGTCGCGGAAAGGAAGTTGTTCCGTTGTGGATGATATACGGGCGCACCCCTTCGTCAAATAGAAAATTCTATGCAGGAGACGTAGTCAGAACTTTTCGTATTTTTGGTTAGAAGGGTGTTGAAACTTGTCAAATTTTCTATAAACACGCGGTATATTGAAATTTTGACAGTGTTAAACATAATCTTCTGGACTCGTATTGAGCACAGTGGTAAGTCTATTAACACTTTGACATCGTGTTGCATTGAATAGAACTGTTATTGAACATGTTTATGCACTTATGATAAGTGAAACTATTGGAGTATGTGTGAGGAGATGTGCAAATGCAAAAATGAAGGGTATTTTCATTTAAATTCCAAATCTTGTTTTGTATCTGTGAAAATATGAATTTGCATGAACATCCATAGTTCAGTTACACCTATTCCAGTAGTGTAGATCGTTTGAAGAAACTACAATGAAACTGATAAATTCCCTCAACTTTTTTATCAAAAGCCGAAGCTGTAGTTATTCGAGTACGAAAAGATAAATTGTTCCTGTAGAAGTCAAAGAGTTAATATTTATTATGTATGTTATCCTCCTGTCTATTGGATGGACACTACGACTTACCAGCTGACCAAAAAGAAACGAAACGTTGTAAAATACACGGGTCCGGGAGGACAGGACTTGTAGCCGAAAATCTCAAAGGGCTTTCGTTTCTGTGTCACGTACTGTGACTTTGTACGCTGAAAGAGACTTCAACGTCTCCTGCGCACCTTTGCCAGCTTCGGGCCAAAGAAGGATCCGAAACTTGTATGCTTTGAGACGTTTGTCGCTCTTTCAGTTTTCGCAGAGACTTCGCAGAGAAAAGAATCACTCCGTCTGGGGATGACTGAATCGAACCTACCTTCTTCCCTCGAAAATCTTTTGTAATTCTCGAAAGTAGCGTCTTAAAGACGTGTCCCGGTATACAAGGAGGTCCAGGGTCTAATAATTTTATTTCTTTTCGACGAAGGAGGTTTCTCGTCAAAGGATTTCTGTGCGAACGGTTCCTTTCCGACGGAGCACCTCGCTCGACCGAACAAAATGTTCGCCAAGTGGTCGGGGATGGGCAAACTTTCACGCGAGTAACGGACAAATGAAAGCAACGTATGGCAGTTCATTCGTTAAATGTAATTGGTGTAACAGTTGAACCCTGAAAAGGTTGCAATGGGGAGTCGAATGCAATTCGTACTATATTTTAACGTTTCACGAGAGACTTTTTCTAAGAACTTTCAGATCTGAATTATTTTCTTGCTAAATTTAATGTTTAGGGTTCACTTGGACTAAAATTACTGTGAAAAAAAAATTCTTTTTTAAATTTCTAACAGTGTAGTTAAACGATAGTTTCGGTAATTTTTTAATTTTGTGTCCTTAATTGCAGACGCCAGGTCTGAAAGGGTTAAGAAGGACATGACGTGCAACATTCTACGTAACTTCGAAACGAATTGAGCTGAGCAATCGAAAGTTTTAGGAGTTCTTGTATACGCGTGTATGAATAAACGAACCAAACTTCAAACATAAACGTCAAGTACTTTCGCGTCTTTTATCCGTTTTTCGAAATTTGTATCAAAACAAAAGTTTCGCCCATCCCTGCGAACGATCGCGATCGAGTAGACACGTTCACCGACACATTTGTAAATTAAACCGATGATTGTGGTATCGACGATCGTCCGATAACGCCTTACTATATCATACTCTACTATCCGATAGTTGCGCGCGTTTCGCCCTTTTACCAGCGTTCAAGTAACCTACGACGAGACATCGTGAAATGAACCAAAAAAAAAAAAAATACAAAAAAAGATTGTAAAAAAAAAAGGAATAAAACGAAGAATGAAAAAAATACACGTAAGTGGCAGTAGTACGGCGGTACAGTTGTCCAGCGATTTACTTAGTTTAAGGCTGCGCCAATGACCCCCTTCCTCCCGCCCCATTTTCGATGATGCAATATTACGTAAAACGATGGACGAATAATAACGCGATAATGGAGCAAAGTAATCGTTTCTCGGCGAGGAGAGCGAATGTACGTTCCATGAGTAAGGAACAACGAACGAAAAAGTACGTTTACAACGCTGCTTCGTGTGTATATTTCTTTGCAATCACTGATGTAAATAAATGCAACAGTTTCGAAACGGTCGGTCGAGTCGCTCGACCGACGTCAACTTGACATTTTGTGGTTTATTTTCACACGGATCACCCGTTATCAGTGCGTACATTAATCCCTGGTTCTGTTCCTACACTGGAACACTGGAGAGCTAATCTTTTAGTAGGCAATAAATATTTTTAAAGCGAATGGTAGAAGATAAAAGGGAGCCTAAATTTGTTTCAAATATCCTTGTCTTTTTTATAACAATAACCCATACATCATTTTTATATTATGATCTATATAGTTCTTTCCGTTGCTTTGTTTTACGTAACTCCTTAATTTTGGGATTCTACAGTAAATGAAGGCTCAGTTCGCGTTATCATAACACCACGCCGTACATTACATTCACATTACGTCCAAATCCAATGCATGTCTGTTGGAGCTCTCTGGCCGCCCTATAAATCGTGTACCTCGAGTTAGCTAAACCCGTACTGTATTATTCGCATGCTATTGGCCCTGAGGGCAAATTGTAATTCAAGATGAAAACAAATATGATAACGAGAAAAGGTAGTTGCACATATAACTATTGATAACAATTGTATTGACCAAATGTCTGGATCAATTTCATCGAAATATCCGCAACTTAAAAAAACCAGCATGGTAAAATCTAAGAATTTGAACAGATCAGCGCCTTACCAACTGTAGTTTCATAGAATGGAGCAAGTATCGACTGTAGAAATGAAAGATTCCATTCAGGACGATCTGTGTTGCCTACGGCTCATCAGTTCAATTCAGTTCAGTCGTTTATTTAAGTGATCAGCTTTTTACAATTGGCAAAGCTATTCCACTGTCACTTTCTCTATTTGCTTACGTATGCATTTTATTTCTCATTACAGGTTAATTCCTCTCTTGCATCGTTTTAATACTGTTTGCAGTATCTCTTACTTCTCATCTATTGGAGCCCGCTGGCCCCTCTCTAGCTCGGGTACCTCGGGGTTGCTAAGCCCGTACTGTAGCTTCAAAAAAACACCGCTACAGCCCCTGAGGGCGTACAGCTCATCGAAGGGCGTGGTAAGAGCTGGAAGAACCCCTATTTCACCACTTCCCTGTCAAATTCAATCTTATCGACTGTAAATGGAATAAGATCACAACGCCATACCATAGCGAGGTATGGAAGGAAGCCAGACATTCGATGGAAGGACAAGTATAAAAGAAATATAGTATTCAAATATTCTGTAGAATCGTGTATTCTATATCTTGTTTATAATTGAATATATCACACATTCTGAGACTCGTTACTTTCATTCCTATCGTTGATAACGTTAGATGTGATACCATAATGGTAAAATGAATAGTCTACTCTACCATGGTAGACCTCTTACTCCTATGCGATAATACCGGAATCTGTTACAGCGGAATACTACAATATCGATCGCACTCATTTCTACGTGGCGATAGCTATTGGTAAAGACGGAAGGTGTCACTAATGTTCATAGTACACCACGTACGATATACCGTTTGATTTCGTCATTGCGTGCAAGTTGCGATACGTAACAGAATTCGCAAAACTTTCAACATTTTAATGTTTTATAGATTCTACTAATATTTCTACTAATATTTCCACTGCTATTAATTCAAAAATCGGTAACGTCTTACGAGCGAGAGCGTTTTAATCTATTTTACGGAAAGTCTATCACAAACGTCTATATACAAACTCATTTCTGTAACGTATGAACCGCCGATGATGGAGCAAAATCTATTGTCTGCTTCTTTTTCAAAATATTGTCTTCCCCTTCGGTAACTGTGATTCTACGGTTTTACCAATTTCCATAACTACAGAAAATCGTAATAATTCTCTAAGTAATAAAAATGTCCCACCCTTATCGAGCTATTTATCTTACTATCGAAAAATATCTAAGACAAACAAGGTTCTGCCACCTTCATTTTTCTTTAATAAATTCTCAACAAGTTACTCGTATAAAACATTTTAACCAAAAATTGTCCGTACAGTTACTAATAACTAGCCAGCGTATTTAATGCATTTATGACAGAAACATTTATGAGAAATCGCGGCACGTACGTTTGTACCGGCTATTGCGATTTCTTGTTCCACGCGCAATTATGGTGCTGAACATACATCATACCGTTCGCTTTACCTGTTTGCGCCAACTGTCCGTTGTCAGATCAGCATAATTTCTGTAAATCGGGACACGCTCGAGTCGGTGATGAGTCGCACCGTCGGAACGAAGCTGCGTTGCGTCGATTAATCGGCGAACGGATGCAGAAGGGATGCAGAAGGGATGCACAGAGCGGAGGACAAGTTGGGATGGAGTTTGAATAAGGGTGGGAATAGAGCCGGTGCGTCGGGGGTTAGAGCGACGCGGGGGAGTGCTCGCGTGTTTCGCGAAAAAGAAAAGCGCGGAAGTTCGGCGCGAGTCTCGACGTAACAGGTGGTTAAACTGCTGTAAAACATCTACAGGGGCTGAGGGAAGGTCAGACTTTGCTGTCGAGTGAAAGTGCAAGCGACGCCACTCTATTTCCGTACTTTTCTTCGCCCACTCGAACCCCACGTGTCTTGTAAATTGGCTGTTCGGTGGTGCAGACGTGTGAACGCGAGCTGAAAAATTATTGCACCGTCGTACCTTGGAAAAAAGGTATGACGAGGTTCGAGGACTCTATTTGGAGACGCTACCAAAACTGATTTTCATTGTAAGTTAACACTTTTCCGAACTATTAACACATACGCGACAACTGACGTGAATTCACATCACTTCGAATTCTATTTCTGGATTCTATTTCAAATTATGAAAATCTTTTTATTTGATACACTACATTGGAAAATCAGGCTTCTAAGGTTAAAAGTATACAGAAAAAGCCTCTAGAATAATGATAATAATTAATCTGACGTATCTTAATCATTACACTTTTATTTAACACACTGTAATTTATTATTATTTCTTTTAATTCTAAAGCACCTGTCTCAAAATCGTCATAAGTCACGAAGTATTATGATACCCCGCCTCTAAAAAATCTCAAAGTGTGTCTTACTTAATCTGACGTCTTCTACATTTGCTGTTCTCCTAGTATAAATACACCTAATAATTAACAAACCTGAACATGGTTGCCCTTCCTTCTCCCGTTGATGTTGTTGCCCCATGCTGAAAAGATCCTCAAATTTGCAACGCTCGAGAAGGATGTATGAAAAGATGATCACAAGGTATTAATCGATAGATCTTACAGCGTCTCACGAGTTAGTATGTACATACGTTTATATTGACCGATGTCTAAGTACATTGAATAATGAATTCGAGTCTCAACATAGCAATTACGCGGATTCGGTTGGGTCAGAACCGTGATTCACCTAAAACCTGAAACGTCGCTCATTGCAAAACACATTCGCTACAGATTCGTTCGCGCTCCTTTCATACCTTCTACGCTATTTTGTACGCGTATACACCTAGTTAACATCAAAATAAATCTATACTCGGCATCGCTTATAATTCCGAACGGGGCTATGTACACGACGGCGGAATAAAGTAGTACTATGCGCGGCACCACTGGTTGCCCGCATTCTAAAACGTGCTAGATGCTTTCTCATATACATGTACGCGAGATCGTTATCTTTCAACGTTTCGAACAGGTAACCAGGGCCGAATTAAGAGTGTCCAGGCCCCCAAGCTACGGGTACCGCGTGCAACCACGATATTCTCGGATGGAGAAACAAAGTTACAGAACGATCAACCTGCACTTTTGGACGAAAATATTTTCTGAAGGAAATCTTTTATTTTATTTCTGGTATTTATTTTTCTTAAGGTAGTTTGAACTTCCCGAATCTGCTGTTTTATAAAATCGCGCAATTTATTTTTAATTATTTACTTGGGGTTACGGTAGAACGAAACGGTGCAGGAACTAATTTGGATGGTACGTACCAGTCAATACCAAAAATATTCGTAACCTTTATTGAAGAAGTTTGATTAAATTAGATACTAATTTTGATATTATCGAACGAATGTTTCATTATAAATATGTATACGAACAAGCTTGTACATGTATATATATTTATATAAACATACACTTGGAAACATCAAACCTACCATTCAATTTAAACAAATTTCTTCGATAGCCATAGAGGGTACGAATATATATGGGACTGACTGTATTTCCTTTGTCTTGTATGTCTTTTCTGAATATTCTTCTTTTTTGGTGTGAGCCAAAGGAGGACCGAAGAAAGGTTGAGACAATATGTCAGACTGCCATGCGAAACCAAGAAATCTGTAGTAGCGTGAACTATTACATTGCGATGTTGACACTTTACCGACTGGTATATTCCTAACACGGTATGAATTATGAAATATAATAATCAGATTTTATTAAAATCAAAAATAATATTGAATAGGTCGGTAAAGCGTTAATTATTACGAAACCGTAATATTACAAACGTAATACGAAAATGAAATACAAAAACTCATTTCGGGAACGCATCTGAAAATAATTTTACTGTCGATCTAATCGACCTAGAGTCCACCTATCAAACAATAAATATTACAATGCGTAACGTGTTACACTTTGGTGGCCCTCGAATTGCTCGAGGCCCTTGGGAGGCCTTTAACACGTTGGTCGCCACGTCACCCAGAAATGAATGACAGGTCTTTCCATTAAGGAACTAAAATGTTTCATCCCAAAGATGTGAGAATAACAAAAATAAATCTGGACAAGTTTCGTGTACTTGGCGACGTTAAAAAATGAATTACTGCGACAAATGTTAAATTATCGAATCTTCGATAGTCTCGCGACGAAATATCAACTTTATAGACGTTGTCACGAGTTTCGGCAGCCAACGTGTTAATTCCTATAGCCCGCGTCTTAATCCGGCCCTAGAGATAACGATACACTCATCTCTAAGACGTCGAACGATTTTTCAATGTTTGCTGCTCTTCCCTCTTCTTCTATCCAGCCGGAAGTCTCCTTCGAGTCTCTGGGTGACACCAAAAGCCTGAAGACCGGTTTAGAGCAGCGAATCTAAACAGTTTCGGGACACTTACCCGGCTTGCTTCTTGGAGCAATCGTTGCGAAAGTTAAAGATTGCTCGGGGTTTGCGAGTTACTCTTGGGTTAACGATGCACAAGCACACGATCGAGGTGTCCGTCCTCGGCGAGAGGAGGACCATCGTCGTCGGATGGACTCCTGCTCGCGGTTATCGACGACGATAACGCGTGACACATCCTTTTCCTCGACGCGGACACGTTTCACTCTGGACGGTCGCGCGGATGCGAATAGTCCGTCGATTACCGATACATCGAGGTGACCCGACAAGCGTCGTCTTATCGGTGGCACGCTCGAACATGTCCTACCGTATCGTCCGATAACGACACTCGCAAACAGACGCGCCGTCCTGCCGTGACGCTGGGTGACCTAATTCGCCGATACACGGGGGAAGGAATCGTTGGTCGCGTTCGAGGGTTTACCAAGGCCTCCACATTCCCTCCTCGTCCCTGACGGGTTGCTGGGGCAGCGGCGACGGCGTGCGTATCCCCGTAACGAAATCTCCGCTCGCGTGACTGGAAGGCCTGTCGTCGTGCGCGATCGCTTGGTCCTGGGGCAAACGAGTCGCGTATTGCTGCTGCTGCTGCTGCTGCTGGATGTTGTGCTCGATCCCGTTGACGGGCAGAGCGGTTCTGTTGCTCGTTTTCAGTTTCTTCGACGTGGTGGTGAAGTCAAGCGGCTGCTCGGGAGGCTCGAGCCTTGGACTTTTGTTAGGCTTTGAACCGGACGTGGGGTTCGCGGCGAAGGTAGACACGGGGGCAGATGCGGAAACGGAAGCGGAGACGGAAGCGTTGGCGGACGTGGCGGCGGCTGCGGCGGCGGCGGCAACAGCAGCGTTAGCGGCAACAGAGGCGGCGTCCTGCCACTCCTGCATCTCCTCGTGGGGACGTTTCGCGAGCTTGTCGGTCGCCTTTAGCAGCGACATGTTGGTCGCGGCCCATATCGCCGTGGGCGGGTTGGGACCGATGCTGATGCCGTTCGCGGCGGCGGCGGCTGCTAATTGAACGTAATGACTAGGGAGAAGGAAAACGACCTGGCCGTCGGGCAGCCTCGACGGTATCACTTGAACGACCGACAGCATGTTCGGATTTTGCTGCGAACCGGAGGCTGCCTGATCGATCACCGGTATACCAGGCGGCGGGGGAGGCGGGGGCGGATGATGGTGAGAATCGAGGGTACCGGGATTTAGCTGACCGAAGGCAGACGTCGGCCGACTGTTGCCGCCGCTACTGCTGCTGCTGTTATTGTTATTTTCGTCGCCGGCAGTAGTACTACTGTCCGGCCTGGCCGGCTCGATGTCCGGAATCTCCGCTTTTATCAAGCCGGCCGGATTCAGAGCTGTACTGCAGTGCGCGGTCGGCGGCACGTGGTGCTCCAACGGACCGGGACTACCCGCGCCCGTCACTCGATCCGTCACGCTTCCGGGACTGCTGCCTAATCCGCTATCCGGCCTCGAACCCAGATCCAAGTCCAATTCTGACACGCAACTGTCCAAGTGTCGCAATAACCTTTGTTTCACCGCTGGGTCCATCGGCGTCGTGTTCCCGGTGATTATGTCCGGGGCATCGAGGTATCGACTTACCTGCAACACCACGCTCAGATATGGACGTGTCTCGACGGGAACACCGGAATCGTTTAAGGTGGATGCGGTCAGGGTCGTCGCCAGTGGACGGACTGACGCAACGTCTACCGATATAGTTGATATTAACCGAGGATTTCCGAAAATACTGGAGGGGACACTGGAAATATCGCTCATTAGTATTCGAACGATCCACTCTTCGACCTTTACTCTGCCTTTGAAACACGAGGAATTGTATTATGAGTATTATTTGAATTAACCGTTTGATTGGCAATTTTGCTTTACGAAAATGACGTCAATATCTAATCCACATTGATTTATTTGTGCACTTGGATTTTGTTTCAAGTTTTATTCACATGCCGTTAAACGTTAATGAAATGTACATTTTTGTTTACAATCATGCACTTAAAGGGTTGATAATCTGGGAATAGGCGAAAACGTGTACTTTGGGATAGAAGATATAGTCAATGACCCAGGCATGAGGACAGGTACCTCATAGGCTGCATAACGCACGCAAATATTAGTGATCCACTCGATCCTCAAAGAAGCTAGTAACTTCTAAAAGTCAGAAGGAGCCTCGGTTAATATCAACTACGAAGAACCAGGCTCTAAATGCCTCAAATGTTTTAATATGTGTCGATGATACTGAAGTAAATTCAATATTAAAGTAATTAATGGGAAATATTGATAGGCATCAAGATCTGAGGTAGTTGCAAATATTGTTTGATACGGAGACCTTTAATTAATAGATTATGCAGTTTGATACCAAGTAGATATTAATACCGAAATAAATAATACCGATTGAGCATTAATACACCGATTCGATTAATTTCTAACGGTAACTGAAGGCTTCGTTTGTATTTATGTCACAGAAAGAGAGAAATTAATAAGAAAATCAAACTGTCAGACTATCTTGCCAAAAAAAGTAATGTATTACTATGAATTATTATGTGAAAATAAAAATAGTGCATTCATTTTCCATCAAGAATCATCGTTCGATCGGCTGCAACATCTCGAAAACTTACCTCTCTGGAGCAATCTTGGTAGCCAGCTTTATACCTCGATAAGCCAGGCTGAGCAAGAGATCTCTGCCTTTGTAAATGCCGAACTGTTAATTCTAATATGTCAGCTTTCTCAAGCTTGCTATGCTTCGTGTTCTCCAGCCGGGCGCTGTCAAGGATAAGCGCCTTCAGCGCCGCCAGCGACTGATTGATCCTCGCTCGCCGTCGCTTTTCCATTAGTGGTTTGTTAGCCTAAAAGGTAACGATTTTTTTTTTTAGAACAAGAGAACCAAGGCTATCGAGTTACAGTTATTACGAAAAACGTTCAGAAAGCGTACATAACGTAATAATTTATATTTATATCCCTTAAAGTCGAGAATTTTGTATTGTACAATGTATACACTTCAAGAACCTCAGAACGTCCAGCAACTGATTCTGCATCCCTTCTTTTCTTACTAAATTAATGAGACAAAACCATAAGAAATATAAAATGCATTATAAACAACGCCACATAGCAGATTCAACGATATAGTTGGAGGGGACGAAAAGTGAAGGAATGTGGTCTAATATGCTAATGATACGGTGATTATATAAATGAACGACAATCGCTACTCCGATCGATTGAACTTTGCCTATCGATTTCTGTACTCTTGCGTAGATTACGATCGATGGTAGATATAAGGTAGGATGATTCCACGCGTACTTTTTTTATTTACCAAACGATTTCCGCAATATGCTTAAACGAATGTAACGTTTTAATTGTCAAGTGAACGTCGTATGCATTGGATAACGACTCCTGAGTAGAATCAGACGTTACGGTCAGACTTCGTAAGACCTGCATCTACTTCCTGCTAGGGCCACATTTCCCCGATAACTTTCTGAATCCTGAATTTAGTCTTAAAATGAACAAGGCATTCTTACTATTTGACCCAAATAATTTTAGATATAACGAATACAATTAATTTTTAAGCATTGCGATATATGTATATGTAACAAGGATATTTATTTATATTAATAACGGACTCATTTCTAGTTTACCAGTCTATCCCTAGCCCACATTATCGTTATCCTTATCGTGTCTTAAAATCGTTGAAGTTAAATTTCCAATCAGAACTTTTACGATTAGCGAGATGCACCTACTCCTTATATGTGCACGATAATATTCCCGCGCTTTTTTACTCGCGCGGGTATTAGGACGAAATGGCCATAGCACGTCGAATTCCCATAGAAATGGAAACAAGAAAATCGGGAGAAGAATCTACAACGCTTACATCTCACATTCAAGATGTTCGCTCAGAATGCAGGAGCATCGATATTAGGGTTAGGTTGTGAAACAGCTGTTTCTGAACCTCGCCAATTTATCGTAGTACAATCATAGTCTACGTATACGTTATATCTATTTAATTTTGCGGCTGTTGAATAAATAGAAAGGAAGAATCACTATCGACATAAATATCCCCTTCCTTGATGTTACGATGTGCCCAAAACATGTATGTATGTTAATTTCTATTTCTCCCGAAATTTAGAAATAATTTTGAAAAACGCGGAAAATCATGAAGCAGTGCTGCCATTATGTTTTGTAAGAAAGAATCAAATTAAATTTCCATAGAGCGGCTATGTAACTACGATTAAACTGATACCAAACAAATTCTACAACAATAATAAAATTATAAATACGACGAATAAAAAAGAAATCGGTATAATATCCAAAAGAGAACCTCGTAAAGAAACTTTACTCACTCGACGACCGTCCGAGTGTTTAGGGCTCGGGCTGAGACTAGGACTGGGACTAGCGGTCGGGCTGGGTCCCTGATGCGCGCTCTGTTGATGCTGTGACTGTTGGTGATGGTGGTGGTGGTGTTGTCTGTGACTATTGCCGCCCGATTTCTTCTCCTGATGCCTCAACGAGTGAAGACGAGCGGTCATCTTAGTAGGCCACGTGGGCCCTTGGCTGCGGCGACAGCAATGGAAGTGACGATGATAACGGGGACAATAACAACAACAACAATGGCAACAGCGACGGTGATAACGAGAACGACGGCGACGGCGACGGTGACGACGACGACGACGACGACGACGAGGACGATGATAACGACGGCTGCGGCGACGACGACAACAACGGCTGCGATGGCGGCAACGAAGACGACAACAACAACGATGACGGCGGTCGCAGCGGTGAGGGCGGCGACCGCAACGACGACGGCGACCGCAACGACGACGGCGGTCGCAGCGGTGACGAGGGTGTCGAAAGCGATGACGGCGGTGACGTTGACGACGACGACGACGACGACGACGACGACGACACCGACGACGACGACGACGACACCGACGACGGCGACGACGACGGCGACGACGGCGACGACGACGACGACGACGGCGACGGCGACGACGACGACGACGACGGCGACGACGGCGACGACGGCGGCGGCAGTGGCGTCGTTGCTAAAGACGGTGGTGGTGGCAAAGTTGATCTCAATGCCCAAAGTAATCGGCCTGACACAGCTGAGACACTCAGCATTTCGCGTCCGAGGAAGCTACGTAGCACTACGCTGGTTTGATATCAAAGCTCACTCACTCGCGGGTAACACGCGGCTATCATCCTGTAGTATTTCTGAACACAACGTGGGATGTTAGTACGCAGCCGCTCGGTTATCACAGTGTAAATATCATTACGTCCGCGAACGATACACGTGTTCCGTCAGCTGGACTCTGCAGTCGCTTCTTATTCCACTCGAAGCGAACACGTCCCGCCCCACTCTGTAACAACAACCCCTAGATGGAGGCGCGCGCTTTCCACGCGGTCTATGCACGCGACTCGATCACCGAACTTCCAACCGGAGAGTTTGAAAGTTTTCACTCGATCCCGAGCAGAGGCACATTCTGGGCGCAAACCCCGCAACCACGTGGCCTCGTCACGCGTTACACTCACAACCACAAATTTACTTCCCGCCGTTCATCCCCGGGCACCGGTACGCTGTCGTTTGATCCATTGTTTCCTTCACAGCACTCATTTCATTCACTCATTTCGGAGTTAACCGTCCCAACAACTGTGCTTCGTAGATTCGACAGTCTCCTTGGCGGGTCCACCGACGAAATCTTCACTCTCCTTGCGTTTAAAAAAAAAAAGGGGGCTGAGGGGCCTAAGGGTTGGATCTCGCTTTGAGATATATCTCGCAGAGATGTCTCATTCGTCGCGATACACTTGGCTACCCCGCCGCGTGGATACGTGGGCATATGAGAAAAGAAAAGTTTCTTTCGGTAACGTTCGCGTAGAACAACATTAAAACGTGGAATTCTTTACGAGGAATTGGAGAATCGTTATTTTTCGTGGTACTCGTGAGAGCTTGTATCGAAAAATATCTTCGATTCGATGTTTTCCCGTTTCTATCGTTTCCCGCCTCGCAAGTATCGTCGCTGTCCTCGCTCGACGAGCGACGGTGACGGACTGTGAGCCGACGAGCGGTAGCTGGCTGCTCTCCGCCGAGATTCGCGGGTGTGTGAGTGCAGGCGAGAAGCCGGGGGCCGCGCGCGGAGGATCGCGCCGCGGTTGATCGTGCGTGAGGCGGGGGTCGGTTGGTGGCTGCTTGCCAGAGCCGCTGCCGTCAAGGGGCCGAGAGGGAGAGGATGAGGCTCGCTTGCCCGCTCACGCGCGCCCTTGCCTACGGCTACGTGTGCTCCTCTCGTTTCTCTCTCGTCCTCTCTCTTTCTCTCTCTATCTCTCTCACTCTCTCTCGTTCTCTCGTTCTCTCGTTCTCTCGTTCTCTCGCTCTCTGCCACCGTTTCTCTCGCTCTTCGTCTCCGTTTCTCTCAGTCCTAGGGAATTGCTAGTTGTACCCGACCTACCTTGATCTCTTTTTTTCTCTCGTTCTCAGTGCCGCTTTAGCGCCTAACTACGCGATGTGTCGCTGAAACCGGCTACCAATTTGAATCGCCTCTAAATCCCGCAGCCTCCCTCCCGCCCTAACCTGTCGAAGCAACATTTTAATATTAAATTTCATCGTCAGAGAGGCTGTCGTATCTTAACGGATTACCGTTCGGCGCCTTCGTTGTCCGACTCTCGCTTCTGTCGGGCGAAATACAGTCGGTCGCGAAAATATTCGGACACTGTTTGATATTTCGATCGATGGCTTGAGTAGGTGGTGCGTTGGACGAATGAAAGAAACGTGTGGTGTGATATGCAAGGATATAGTTTCTAGTTAACGATTTAGCTTGGAGGCGTTTTTGGACCAATAGTCGAAATACAATATATGATAGTTGTGTAAATTGTCTGGTTCTGATCGAATATGACATCGCGAGGCTGGATGGAGTTAACGAGTAACGAATAGGCGATTATTTGTATTTTATTCGGGAATTATATGTATATAAGATGCTTTACACCTGTTGTGGCTTGCTTTTTGTTATAATCGTGATGTATATTACGTTAAGTCCACTTTTGTGTTATAATTGGAGAAGATGCAACTGCTGAAGATTAAGACAGGTGAATCTATTTGGTTTTCTTCCACTCATTTTAAAACCATACTTGGTAGATAATTGTAGCGTTTTCTTGGACGCGACTGTACGATTAACAACTCGGATCCAACGGATCGATCTACCTATCGCTCATCGGGCATCAGGCAATTATAATTACGAGCATAAAAAGAAATGACGTTCGAGAGAGCAATCGACCGCAGGCACTGAAATTAGAAATTCAAAGTGCGTCGAATCCGCAGAGCGCGACCAAGGATTTCCTTTTCGTAAAAGCAAAAGGATCGTGAAACGAGACTCCGACTGTCACTGAATTTAGTAAAAAAAAAAGAAGAAAAAAACGGAAAAAAATTTTAAACCAAGCGCCCGTCGAAAAATCGGGGAAACGAAGAATTCCGCATTACACGCATCAAACGATGAGCATCGTCGCTGTCCGCGACGTCCTTTAATCTCCCTCCGTCTGACCGTCTGTCTGGGCTGTCCCTGACTGACGGCATGCCCGTTTCTCTCTCGCCTCGCTTCTGTTTTCTTGTTCGCTCGTTCGCTTCGTCCTTTCTGGCTCGGGCGTCTCTCGCGCCACGGGAACGAAAAGGCGGCGATGGTAACGGGCGACGGGTCGTGTGCGTGCGACTGGATATGGACGAGGATAACGCCGCGGCGCAGGGAATTACGACGACTTGCCGAAGAAAGGTGGGAGGAGGAGAGGTGGGGGCGGATGATGGCTCGTTGTCGGTGCTGGCACGGCACGAGCGAGCACGGCGTGGTCCTGAAGTGGCGTGGCTCGATGGTGCGGCGGAGGTTGGGGGGCAGCGACGTGGCACGGCGTGGCACGGCGTGGCGCGAGGGGTGGCGGCGTGGCACGAATCGACTCCGCTCGACGCAGCGGCGGTGGTCGAGGGAGAGGAGCAAGTACCGTCACAGGCCAAGCTCGATCCGTGCTGTTCGGCTCGCCGAGGCGATGAGCCCTCGAGGCGGGTGGCGGGTGGCGGGTGACGGGTGGTGGGCGCCTGGCGGCGGGCAGCGGTCGAGAGGCAAGAAGGGCGGTGGCGTGCGGCGTGCGGCGAGACGGGCGGCGGCCGCTTCACGGTTGATAGGGACAGAGAAAGAGCGAAACGGTCGAACGGATGGACCGTAGAGACCTAACCCGACCGTGAGGCGTGTGGCGAGTGTGTTGAAGAGCGATGAGGCGACGACGCTCGAGGGGAAACGAGAGAAGCAGAGGAGGTAAAGAAGAAACGAGAGAGAGAGAGTCGGTGAGCGAGGAAGCGTGTGAGCCGGTAAGGCGACGAAGGCGGGGTCGGGTGGCGGAGGCGGGAGGCGGCCGTCGGCACGCGCGGCGCGAACCGCTCTACCCACGCAACCTAACCAACGTACGTGTGAACGAGCTTGTACGTGAGAGCGTGCGTGTCAGGCTGACTGCCCCCGGCCTCTGCCTCTGCGTGCCAGCGTGCCGGCCTGTCGGTCGCTCTCTCGGCCGCCGCGGCGTGTCAGCGTGCCGTTTCCTCTGCCTACGTGTACACCTATGCGTGTGTTCGTGAGCGCGACAAACTGACGTCGCGCTGCACGCGCCTGTTCAATGACAGGGGTGGTCAATCGTTCCGACGTTTCGTGACGCGAAATTGATCTCCGACGGCTACGAACGGTTGCGATGCCGAAGGATTGTCGGAAAACTTGTGACACGCGAGTTTATTTTGATTATATACGAACATTTACGATGCAAAGTATTCCTCGAGCTTCTCGAATTCGTTGAACGAAACGGTGGCCGAGTGGTCAAGCAAACAGCACCGCGGTTCAAACTTTTGTAACCCAAATGCTCTACGAATAGAACGATCTACCTATTCGAACATTCTATTATTTAAACGGTGCGTTTTTTTATAGAATGTGTCTCGTTTGTGTAATATTTCCTTAAGAAGGCTGACTATAATGTCTGACCCAATACGTCTTTTTTTACTTTCTTCTCCGCAAACACCTTTCTTTCTTTGGATAACAATGACATGGTACCAAACATTAATTCATAATACGTGTCCGTATACTTTTGATTGTCTACAAAAATGTCAATCCTTAAATAACCTACTCCAAAATAACATGTTTCAGTAGTTTTAATAAAAATTCACTCTGACATAGACATCAAGTGTGCCCTGATTTTTCATGCCACCCAATTTAAGAATTTAAAATAAATTCTCAAATTTAATCCTAACAGGCCCCTTATACCTAAAATCTGGCGATATCAAATTCTCAACCTGAATCGTATCAACTCCCAAACAATTCCAGACAAGTGTTTCACACTTTTACCCCCTAAAAAATGGAAATTTCGTTAAGGTTCACTGTATACGTCTAAATCGCATCGAAGACTGCGCGCGATCTACAGTAGGTTTCTGAGCAGGATTGAGACGATGCGACGAAGCAGATCCAGGTCCTCGAGAAACGTCGACAAAAAGAGGCGTCGGGAAACCCGAGAAAAGAAAAGGCAACCGGTGGGAAGTGCGAGGAGAACGCGAAACCGAACTCTAAAACGGAATAGCGTGAACGGTAAAGGCAAAAGGGAGAACAATGGTCGGTGCGGTGGATGGGGAAAGGGCGAGCGAGGGAGGCGGTCGGTCGGAGCTGGGCGGGGTGGCAAAAAGGAAACGAGAGGCGACGGACTATTTTCTCTTGCGGCAAAGACGTGCGCCAGAATACTCGTTGTGCTCGGGGATAGAAGAGGAAAGTAGTGGAATAGCGAGGAAGCAGTCGCGAAACCTAGAACGCGCGGCGGGGGCAAAAAACGGAATCCCCGAAGCTTTTTCGCGGTTGCGGTGTATCGCGCTGTGACCATGCCATGGCCACGCCATTGCCGTGCTGTTACCACGCCGTTATCCCGCCTGTTCCGTGCCACTCCACGCCACGGAGCGCGGCGTGCCGTTTCGCACCGCGTCACACTACACTTCTGCGTAGAGACCTGAGCTCCTCCCTTTCTTTCTCTTTTTGTTATAAACGCTTCGTTTCGTTTCGGTTCCTAGACACGGTTAGGTGAAACCGACGAGGACGTACCACCGCCCACGCAACTTTGTCTACCGGCGCGTTCGAGTATCGTTGACGATACGCTGCCACGTGCTCGTATGCTCGTTCCAAAGGGGAGGGAAGAAAAAAAAAGGGAGGGGTGAGAAAGGGAAGATCGTCGGCAACGAGCGCGGACTCTCGGTGCACGCGTGCAGAGGAACAACCGAGGAATCGCGGCAGGTGGGAGACATTGCTCGGTGGAAGAACAAACGGGGCTCATTAACACCGCTCCGCTATCTCTATCTCTCTATCCGTCGTCGCCGTCGATTCTTTGCCTTTTTTTTCTTGCTCGCATCTTCTCGCCCACTGTGTCTTCTCGAGACGAGCCGCGTCCAATTGTCCTGGGGCCTCGTTTCCGCGAAAGAACAAATATTTCTGACGATCCGATCGAACGATGGGATCGTGGAAACGTGTCTCCGTGGAAACGACGTGACCGCGATCGAAAAACCCACAACCCACAACTTGGGACTGACTTCTATTTGAGTCTCTATGGGAATATATATTGAATAATTATATACAAATAATGTAGTTCAGTATTATCATTATTCGTCAGCTTCTGGCTATCGAATTCGGACCACTCAAACTCTCCTATGTTTTTCATGTTTTTGATCAAATTTAATGGCGTAAATGAGTTCTAATACCCAAGTTTATAAATTATTAAAATGTTATGCACGTCATATTATTAGTATGTGATATTATTATCTCCGCTTGGCTTAATTAGGTCTCGTAACCTATTCAAAACATGTTTCTTATGCCCTGCTGCATCATATCTTTACATCCTCATTATTTTTCCAAATATCTTGAGTATCTCGAGTTTTTTAAAAACGATTGTTTCTCGTTTAAGATATAGTGTCGCAATTACAAAATTAAGATTCTCGCAAGTGATCCAAGCTCGATAGCCAGGAGCTGTACATCTTAGAAAAGCACCATGTTTGCTTATACACAACATTTGATGTCCCCTATCAGTTTTTGAACATCATGTTATCAAAAAGCACAC